GGCCAGTCCCACCCGGATGTTACGACCATTATGACCACCATGGTCCCCGCAATCAGGAAGGCGGCAACCCTGGCCATGTAGCAGAGCACATGAATGCATTTAATGGTTGATGCCTTACTGGTGCCATTGTTGTCCGGACCTGCAGCTGCCCGAGGATGCAAGCGGACAGGAGAGGCCGCGCTTTGCGCGTCGCGGGCGGCCACGCCGCGAGCAGCGCCGCGCTTGGTTCGTGTTTTGGTTACGGTTGTGTTGGCGCAGAGGCACGCGGATAATTATCGCGCCCCTAGTTTGCTGCTGGAGGCATCCCCCTTTGCCGGCGCTCGCTTGCCTGGCTGCCCCGGCAATTGAGGTTTGTCATTCCCTGGGAAACACCGCACGCATGCAAGGGCGGGCTTTCTTGCAAAATGCCAACCCCTTGCGGTGGTTGCTGTGCCAGGCTGCAGGTGGCTGCGTGCATGCCGGCTGCGGGCTGCGGCACACCCTTTCTTGTGTGGGTAGCGCGGGTAAGCCGATCCAATGGTATCCTGGTAGTTACAGCGCACCGCAGGGGCCAGGGCCAGGGGGGGCAAAACATGAGGCCGCAGCAGGCAAGGCCAATCTCGGTTGGCGCATACAGTCAGTGACGGTGCTGACGTGTGTGTGATAGGGCGGGCGTTTCAAGGCCAGAGCACGACCGCAGAGGCGCACACGCGGGCGGGTCGCCAACAGTGCGGCTCAGGGCTGTGTTGTAGTGAGCAGTGCAGGTCTTGAGGGCACGCTGGTGATAATCTGGCCAGCAAGGGGGGGCGCGTCGGGCCGCGTGGTGCAGTGCGCGCGGTAGGGGCCACCTGGGCCCGGCTGGATGCGGGACGGAGCGCGCCGCGCGCTGCAAAGAGGCCCACGGAGCAGCTGCGCCGCCGCTGCGCAACAAATGCCTGCCCCCAAGTGCTGGGTTGGGCGCCACGCACCCTTTTCGCGGCCGGCCGGTTCTTTGGGGAAAGTCGACGGGCGCGCGGGGCGAGGCCGAGGGGAAGCTGGACAACTGCGGTGCTGGTGAGTTTCGCATCGCGGCGCACGAGGGCCGCCTGGCGCGCGCCTCCGAAGGGGGGCGAGCTTTTAGACCCCAAGCCTGGCAACTCTAAGCCTGGGCCGCGGCGCCGCCGCCGGGCCTGGGCGCGCGGGAGTCGGCAATAGCATGTGTCGGCGCGCTGTTGCACACACGGGAAAGAAGGGACGCTTGGGAGCATCGCTGAGACAGCCCCTGCCTGACCGCAAGCCCTGGCGCCGGTGCGGGTGCGCCGGCGTACGGGCCGATGCGGGGGTTGGGGCCAGCCGGCGCGCGAGCGCACGCGCGTGCAACGGTTTTAAAGCCACAAACGGCGCGAGACACGGCGCCCCGCGCGCGCGATTTGGGGGGAGGCGGGGCGCGCTGACGCACGCCCGCCGCGCGCGCACGGACTGCGCTCAATTCGAAGTGCAAGGGGGTAACGCCTTCCCGCGCCTGCTCGACGCGCGGGTGCTGCAGGGGCGGGGCGGCGCAGGGAAGCGGGGGCGGGGTGCGGCGCACACGCTGCCTGGGCACAGCGGTCGCTAGGCACCCCCGCACCCGACCAAGTCCCAAAAGCAGCAAGGCGCGGCCGGGTGCGAGCCAGAAGGGGGCCGCGCGGGAGGCGCGGCGCAGGGCCTGTGGGCAGACGGCTAGCCGGCCGTAGGAACCGGCACGACCTGAGCCGCGAGGCGGCGGGTCCGCAGCGCGCTGACGAGGCACGGAAAGCACACATTTGGGACCGGGCTGCATTCCTGATCTGAGATCAAGCAGCTGGGCACGCGTGCGTCGCGTGCTCCGATGGTACTGTACCATATTCACACATCAGAGAAGCTAAGTGCGGCATTCACAGCCGCGCCAACTGGGCGCAGCACGGCTCGCGGGCCCGCGTCGTCACCCGCGGCTCTCGGGCGTCACCCGGGGCGCCGTCACCCGCCCGACGACAGCGACATCAGAATGCCTGCGGCCGCCGACGCAAACGCGCTGCCGTCGGTCCGCTGGCTCGCCTCGCCGCCGGCGCTGGCAGCGCTATGGTGGTGGTGGTGGTGCCGCTTGCGCTTGCGCGCGCGCAGCATTGAGGAGTCGTTGCCGTCGGAATCCACAGACTCGATCTTGGACGGCCGGCTGCTCCACACGCGGCTGTTGTGCCGCTTCGGTGACGCGCGCCGCTCGACCGGCTTGAACGCCGACCCGCGGCCCGCGCCGGCGCCGGCGCCGGCGGCCTCGGCGCCGGCGGCGGCCGCGGCCGCGGCAGTGGCTGCAGACGCAGGCGCGCCGTCCGGCGGCAACATCCGGCCGGGCGGTCCAGCCGCGCCGCGGCGTCCGCCGGCCTCATGGCAGCTAGTGTCCGACCCCGCGCCGTCGCCGCCGTGCGCGGCCGCGCGGCGCTTGGCGCCGGCGCCGCCGGCGCCGCTGCCGCTGCGCGCGCGCGAGCGGGGCAGGGAGGGGCCGCCGCTGATCGCGACGTCGTCGCAAAGCTGGTTGGGGTCCAGCAGGCCGGGGCCGTCGCCGAAGACAGCCTTGGGGTCTTGCCACCAGTGCACCACGGGCAGCCTCAGGACGGGCGCGGCGGCGGGGCCCGACAGAGACATGGTGAAGCCCGACGGCGCGCCGCCGCCGCCAAACCCGGCGCCGCCCGCCGCGCACGATGGCGACGGCAGCGACGCCGGGCCGCCGCCGTAACCGCGGAGCTCAGGCGCGCTGACCGGGCCCTGGGGCGGCGCGGCGGCCGCGGCCGCGGCCGCGCGCGCGGTTCCGCCAGGCATGGGGGCCGTCTGGAGGGAGGTGGCGGCGCCGCCGCCGAAGTGCTTCTGGGTCCAGTAGGAGTGGGGGTCGAACGGCGCGGGGGCGAACGGCAGGCCGGCCACGGCCGCGACGCCGCCGGCCATCAGCTGTGATGCTAGCAGCGGCTGCAGCTGCGGCGCCGGGCGGAACGCGTTGATGGAAGGCGCAGACAAGGACGAGCCGCCGGGCAGCGGCGCCGTGGCAGCTAAGGCCGCGGGCAGCTGCAGCG